TTGATATTGCAAAGCTCTTCGAAAAATCAGTTAATGATTTTAGTGAGCTTATATTAACCATCAGCACTTCTAAGATAATTGGTGATGATGAAGTATAATGTAAAGTTTTAGTTGAGGCTTGGTCGACCAAAAGATCCCAGTGATTCGTAAATGTCTTACTCTTGATTTTATATCTGAAATCCAATATTAGCAAGCGAACTAAGAGGACTGATGATTTACCAGCAGCTCCAAACGCACTTCATTACTTTACGACATACTGTAAGTGGGCAGGGACAAAGGTAGGTTGAAGAATGTTGCTTATGGTATTTCCTCTTTATTTTTTAGTTGCTTCTTATATTATCGAGCCAAACTCTAGGAAATACTGAAACTCACTACCATCAGTTTTGTATAATTTATTTTATTCAATAAAAATATGAAATTCAGTAAACTTGGTACATATTTGCTGATTAGCATGTTTTGTGTGGTTTTAGGACAGTGGTACAGGAAGAGATATTCTGCATAATAAGTAGCACAACCCTAATTGAAAAGCTTTGTTTGAAGTAACATTTCTCGACTTACTCCATGAATACATAGTGAGAAGCACAAACATACTACGTACAGCAAACAGCTTCAATAGAAATCAACTGCCCGCGTGTTGAGGCACCACTTAAAATTCCACACATAGAAAAATAAAGTGAAACGTTTTGGTGTATCAATAAGGGGTTGTTTTAATATATTAATTATTTTATAAGCGATGTTCTGCTTTATAAAAATTAAACGTGGTTATTCTATCAGGTAGTCACTTAGTAAAGCTGTTAAATAATGCATTTGATGGTAGACAATAATATTGAAAAATTTTCTGAATTCTTGCTTTAAAACATAGTAGCCACTTGTATATATTTATGCGACTGACCAGATGATACCCATTCCCGTAATCTTCGTAAAATATGATCGGCGGCTTTTGGCTTTACATTGTTCGTTTCCATTTATAACTTTGCAAAAAAAATTTAGTGTTTTGATCGGATAAAATATGCGTCTTCGTACTTTGTTCATCCTGATTAATTTTTTCATTCTTGATTGATTTATGTTTACTTGGTATAGAGTTTTCCACTTTTTATTATGAACAGTTTATTCATTGTTTAAAATATATACGAGATTTTGTTATTATGAGTTATGTTTCAGTTTTGATTTATGTTGGTTCCAGAACTAAACTTTGCTATTGCAGGTGGATACATTTTCCTCGCTCACTTTTCTTTCCAGATATTTTTCAGTGATTTCCATTCAGATGACAAAAATGACATGATGCTCTGGGGAGAATTAAACAAGAAGCTTGAACTTCCTAGAATAGAGCCTTTAACGGTCACACAGCTAACTCTGGAGAAGGACTCTAAGCATCAAAATCACCCGAGGCTACTTCGTGTAACATTTAAGAATGCTACCAACGTAGAGGATGTCCTGCAGGCTAGTCATTTAATGAAATCCAATGGGAACGTAGGAATACTGCTTAACATACGTATTCTGAGCGCGATCTCATCTGGAACACCCCTAAAGAATCTCGCGAGAATTTTTCCGCGGAAAAAATATCATTATGCAAGGTGTACCAGAAAACACGGACCCTAGTCAAACAAACTCTGATATTAGGGAATGGAAATTTATCAAGCAATCCTGGAGGCTCGAAAATATGCTGACTCAACATGTGACGAGACTAGTTAAAAGGGACGGAAATTCTAGACCCCGGCTAGTGTGGATAACTTTCTCATCCTCCCATATGGTGGCTACAACTCTGAAAGCATTTCGTGCCAACAGATGTTGGTTGCTAACTTGAATCCATATGCATCCGGGTAAGCCACGTGACGCCAGGATCAATCGCAAAGGCAAATTGGAGCTGACCATTTCATTTTTGGACTGTCTTGGTCATAAAAAAACGTGTGAAGAACAGGGCCTACGAACTCGGCAAACCTCATAGAGGTAGGCTTCCTGTCCTTCCACGTAAGGCTCATACAGACAAATGAGAAGCTCGCGCGCTTCAAATTGAAAGCATAAACTGCTTATACATGAACGCCACGAGTTTACCAAATAAAATGGATGAGCTACGTGAACTTGACGATGCTAATAAGGCTCATCTGATAGGATATCTGAAACTTGGATATCTTCTCAGTTTACGGACCAGGAGCTAGCAATACTTGGGATGTCTTTGTTTCGCAACGACAGAAATACAGGAATTGGGGTGGATTAGCCTTATAAATACGAACCTGCTTGGAGGTACACCAAATTCACAGCCAAGAGTTTATCAATCTAGATGAAACTGCATGGTGCTTGGTAAGGTTGCCTACTGCTTCGAGGTACCTAGTCGGGGTCATCTACAGGAAGCCCACAGCTGACATCAAGTACGATAGTCGTATGCTGGAAGGCTATCCCTCTCTACTCGTCTCGGTTTCACACACATCCTGATTCTAGGTAACTTTAATCTCCCTAGAGTCAACTTCGCGGATCACACGTATACTGGAGGCGATAACTCAATTGAAGCTCAGTTCTTCAACCTCATCGATGAATTGGGATTATACAAAAATGTGAGGTCGGCAACTCGTTGGAGAAACAGTCAGACACCATCGCGCTCAGACTGTGTATTCACAAACGAAGAATTTCTAGTTGACAACCTCTCAATCCTGGCTCCCCTGGGAAAAAGCGATCATGCCGTCATAGACCTCAGTTTTATCAGCAAAACCAAGCTAAGGTATCCCACCAATAACTCGCGTTGGAATTTTAAACGGTTGAATGTGTCAGCTCTACACGACTATCTACAACAGGTGGATTAGGATGCTCACCCTCAGCTTGATGTGGATACTCATTAGGACTTCTTACTGCACATGCTCTTATGTGCTACAGAGCAGTCAGTTCCTCAAACAGTCCCCAAGAGCTACAAGTAAACTGCGATCATCAAGAACCGCACTATTCTTTTTCTAAGCCGCAAAAGGCACCGTTGAGCAGAATACAAACGAACTGACAACAGCGGCGCGTACAGGCAATACAAACATATAAGGAACATATGCACGGAGACTATGAGAGAGGACAGGGTTCAGTACCAGATAAAGCTTATCAGTGAATTTGTCTCCAATCCGAAAAACTAATTCCGTCATGCAGCCTCTCTTTGACAAGCCGAAACTAGAGTTTCGCAACTGCTAGGTCCTAATGGCCCAACCGGTAACGACGGCGACGCCGCTAACCTTTTGGCTGAACAACACTTTCGGACATTTCAACCGATTCAAATTAACTATATTGATGAAAGCTTCATCTGCAACTGCACGGGACTTTCCGAAGTGGACCTGAGGGCTGAATTGGTGTTCTGGAAACTGCAGCACTTAAGATTAGACATTTCTCCTGGCCCAGATATGGTTCATTCCGCTATACTGAGGGAGGCAGCCTCAATCCTGGCAACGTTGTCTAGCGTGATGTCCTAACACTCGCCAAGCCGAGGCAAACTACCGGCAAATTGGAGGCTGGCTCACATCACACCAATTTTCAAAGGAGGTCGACGCAATGAACCTTCAAGTTATCGGCCGGTGGCTCTTCTGTCATTACCTTCAAGACTCATGGAGTCCCTGATATGCGACGGTTTAAACGACTATCTACTGTCCTTAAATTTCTTCTCACCCCAACAGCATGGTTTCAGGAAGGGTTATTCTTGTATAACCAACCTGCTGACTGCGGTGGACAAATGGACAAGCATCCTCGATCGCAAGGGGAAGGTTGATATTATTTACCTTGATTTCTCAAAACTTTTGTTAGGGTCAACCATATATGTCTTATCAGTAAGCTCGAGCGATTGGGTGTCATACCACCTCTAATTGACGGGCTAATTTCATATCTAAAAAATAGACAATTTAAAGTTAAGGTTAACTTCACTTTCTCTCAGGCTATGGAATGTCCTAGTGGGGTCGCCCAGGGCTCAGTACTAGGACCTCCTCTCTTCTGGATCCACATAAGTGATCTTCCTCAACAGGTAACGTCAGACTTACTACTTTTTTGCTGATGACGTGAAACTTTGGAGGGAAACACGCAATCAAGAGGATATACAGGTACTTCGGGAGGATCTAACTCTACTTCAAAGTTGGGCAGACGATAACGGACTTTAAAACTTTAAAGTGTAAAGTCGTCCATCTGCGACATGTCGCAGACTTCGGTTACAACTTAAGAAACTCCTCCCTAGTAGTATCCCGAGTCGAAAAAGATTTAGGAGTCCTGGTACCCTTTAGATTTGAAGTCTTGCGCTAACTGTGACTAAAATGCCTTTCGAACAAACCTTGCACTGGTAACATTGGAGCGCATTTGCGGCCAATCTTACAGTAGAACTCTCAACATAGTCTTCAACAGTTTTATTCGTATCCATTTAAAATACGGAAGCATAGTATTTCCTCCCTCTCTCCAAAAGGATAAGGACACTCTGGAACGCATCGACCGATGAGCCACGAAATCATTTCGGGACTCAATCGCAAGCCTCATGAAGAGTGCCTCCAACCACTTAACCTTTACCCATTAGAGTATAGGCGTCTTAGAAGTGACCTACTAATGGCTTACAGTATCCTTAACACTTCTGGCTATCCCATTAAACACATACTTAAGTTTATTCCCAATACAAACCTAAAGGGTAATACCCAGAAATCGGAGACAACATAGCAGAACGGACTGTAGACACAACTTTTACTCCCCAAGAGTTTTCAAATTCTGGAATTTGCTGCCGACTGAACTAGTCCAAGCGACCTCCCAGGAGTTCTTTTAAGGGGAAACTTGATCTATTCTTGAGGACTAAGGATAACATCTTATTATGATCTACCAATTTCCTTTTTTCTTCTGTTATCGTTAATATACCTAGGTTACTGCCTGGAGATATTGGTGATCTACTGCTAATAGACACGGGAGCCCATTAAGCGAAAGTTTCTTCGACTCCGTCCACAACCATTTGAACCATTTGTATTATAGTTTAGCGGCCGGCGGGCTTGTAGTATTCAAGGTCAACACATAGGATGAAGTTCGTTGCGCTCGTCAGCGGTGGGAAGGACAGTATATACAATATTATGGAATGTATTGTACATGGCCACAGTTTAGTTGCTCTTGTTAACTTATGTCCTCCAAGATGTGGTGACAAGTGAGTCGTATTAATTAATTCCAAGTTCTTCCTAGAACCTCAGAGATCGACAGTTATATGTACCAAAGTGTTGGTAGTGAGGCTATAGGATACATTTCTAGTGCACTTAAAGTTCCTCTATATCAAACGGAGCTACGCAGAGTGTCCCATTGTAGGCGCATGTTGTACCGTCAATGTTCAAACGACGAGGTTGAAGATCTTTATGATATCTTATGTAAAGTGTTATCTGAAATCCCTGAGGTGACTGCTGTGTCAAGTGGGGCTATACTTTCAGACTATCAGCGATATCGTGTCGAGAATGTAACTCGTAGGCTGGGTTTGCGTTCGTTATGTTTCTTATGGCAACGGTCTCAAGAAGAGCTTCTGGAGGACATCGTTTCAGCTGGCCTCGATGCCATAATAATCAAGGTGGTTTTTTAATGTGGTCATGCATCTGTAATAGCACATACTAGGCACAATTGTTGAACTTTGCGGGTATATTAGGTTTTCGAATTTTACCGCTTATTTATTTTGGCATATATCAAACAAGATTTTTGTGTCTGTCATTACCCGTGGTAACAAACCTGAGTAGACCAGTTAGGTTGAACAGTGTGCTTCTATAGTTAGCTTCGTGTTTCACGTGCCCAAATCCTAGATATACTATGTCAAATGGTATGTATGTTTAACAAAAGCTAGTAACCATTGAACTAGGAAATGGTATTCGACGAAACTACTGTCTGGCAGTCTAAGTCTTGGTCAGTGTAGACTGCCTGATTGCGGTCCCTGCAGTAAGTATTATCATTTGTGACGTGGCGCAAAATCGGTCACTTGCAGCTACATCCATTCTTTATTCTCCTTTAGATCTTAAGTATCATTTCATAACTTAAATTTGACACATTCATTTTTTCCAAACAATATTTAAGATGTCCTGTCCTATTTATCGTTATTGGCTCTAATATTATTTCACCCTTCGTCTCTCCTTTCGAGGACTATCTTTCTGTGCTGCTGTTAAACCATGAGGCACTGCACAATTTCTACCGTGTCTTAGAAATATTGCTATGCTGGAATCACTGGGTAAGTATTAGTGAGGTTAGACACAGGGTATTGGGGAGTGATAGCGAACCATTCGATGAGGCCGTAAATCTACATCGACTGAGATGGTTGGGTTACACATTACGCATTCCCAGTTACTGGTTAGCACGGCGTGCAATGCTAACCAGTGTTGGGGACGGATAGGAAAAAATTATGGACGGCCAAACCTAAACGTGACATAAATTCCATAAATTCATTGACTTCTGGTAGATGCAGACTACTTGGTTGGGGTCCGCGCGACTATCGTAACTAATAGTTGGAGACTGCGTGACGTGGCTCAGAATCTGTCACAATGGCGTAGGTGTGTACACTCTTTGTCTTCATTCAGACAGTGAGATTAAAATTACTTTCTACCTTTCCATGAACTGATTCTTTCTCTCTGTATCATATCCTTTTATGACATATTTTATAACTTCCATTGAAGTAACTGCTTCTATGAATTTGGTGTTCATCTTGTGCCAGTGAGGTGTGGCAACTTGGTCCGACGCATATACGTGCCTGATCCTACGGTTTAGCTGACTGACTGACTGGGTCCTATGTTGATTACGACCGACTTGTTATATATGTGATTTCTGATCAGTCCTAAGTTGCCGATTTAGATGCTTTTATGTCTTATAAAAATCTATAAATGATGTAAAGAGTGCATTTAGAAAGTCAATAGAGTTCAAATGTCAACTGTATTAAAATATAAATTTAGAGTTTTTAAAAATCAGAAGTGGTATGCGGCTCAGATTCAGGTTGGCTTTATCTATGTTACTTTACTATGTAACAATATTCCTTTTTTTGCCTTTCCCACATTGACTACCTCGTATTAAACTTAGAGATGAGGTTGGGAATATCAAGTTATGATGATTTACTTAGACATTTTTCAGAGATCGTCATTACCATGTTTTTGGTTTGTTACTTTTAGTATGCTTTTTACTTTGTCGTAGCCCAAGTTAGTGACATTATTTCAGGAGCATTTTCTAAAAATTTCCCTATAATATTTTCTAGATCGCCGCTTTTGGACTCACAGTTGAAGATTTCCTTGGGGTTCATCTCAGTAGTATTGCATATAAGCTTCGCCAGCTGTCAGTCCCCCCTTGGTCTTTAAATGTATGTGGTGAAGGTGGCGAATTTGAGACAATTACATTAGACTGCCCAATTTTTCATAGTAAAATTGAATTAAAATCGGAACCTGAAATTGTGACACATTCTAAAGACCCATTTTCACCTACTGCTTACCTCTGTTTAAGGAATCTGATTTTGGAGGTTAGTTTGTGTCTTATTTTGGTACATTTTATCGTTTTCAAAATAAACCGAGTTAAATTTCAAATGCCTGAGCTTAGTTAAGTAAGTAAAAATAGTTGAAGACTTATTTAAAGTATGAGATAAAAACATCCATTGAAGTGGCTGGTACATTTTATACGCCGCGGTCTATTATCGTACACGAAATAGGACTTGACTGTCAACTCTTTGACCAATTTTTTCATTATAAAAGCAAAAGTGTAACGTTTTTCATGATATCTTCAGTTTTCTTAGATGCGAGTAAACTTCATACATGTGAAATTGATGACGCAGCTTTTTCGACGATCGTTTATCCACAGTATAAAGGTAAGGCTAAACCGGACGTGATTGTACCTGCTATATTGTAGTTGAATACTAAACGATGGATTATGAGATAAAACACAGCTATTATCTGCTGAGGTTCGTACATCCATATATTCAAAAAAACTAAGATGTCTCTTCTGTTATAAATTATTCTGATTCAATTTTTATCCATTCATTTATTTTGATAATACTCCTTCTCTTTAAGTCTTTGGAATTTCATTTTTCTATTCACGCGGCGGATATTTATTTTGGTGCCCACTTGTACTAGTGTGCATGCTATAAAATAAATAGACAAATAAAGATCCGTACAGCTCATTTACTTTAGTTTTAGAAACTGAGTAATGTGACAGGTTCCGCAACCATCTGTTTCTCAAGATCGAGCAAGTATATCTACGGTAAAATGAGTTAAGTTGTACTAAAGTTAAAGCTTTTGTTGACTATTTTCATCTTGGAAAACTTATGTCATGTAGTTTATACATAACATCGTGAAAGTCGAATGCTTATTCTACCGTCTACGTAACCTAATAATGAAATTCTCTCCGGTCTAGGATGCTTAGGTCCATATATATATAAGGAAGAGAAATGACACCAAACGCCTGATAACTCAAACATTTCTACTACTTCTATAATCGATATGTACATGTACAACCTCTTCAGTCGATTTTATGATACTCTTCAATGATTTAAAAATCATAGTTTTTAATATTTGACCTGTTGTCTGCTTTCTGGAATTTTATATCCAATATTTATTTCAAAGACATAAGTTGTAGATAAAACATTCTTATAAAGAGTCTTAACAGTTTATTAGGCCCTAACACAAATATGCATGCATATTTTGTTCATTTTTTTTATTAGAAGTAGGTATTACATAGAAGAAACTGAACTGCAAAAAAGTTTCAGTAATGACAGCAATAGATTAAGAGCTGAGTTGCAAACTACTTATCAAATTAGTATTTTCGATAATTTGGTATTTATTTTTCTTTTATTCGTTTATAATAATTTCTTCAGGCTAAACCATTGAACGAGGTTTGCCGAACCTCGGAGCAACTTTTGTCTTTAAAAGGAAAACATAATAATGAGGGAAATACTTCAACACATGAACGATCACCATTTATCACTCCATTTGAAAGACTAAAAAGTATACGTTTGAAAACATGTGAAGAAATAAAAGGCGACGTTACTAATGCTTTAGTTCAGAAAACGAATATTAATTGCAATAATGATAATCATCAGAAATACTATGAGTTTGACCGGAAATCAATAAATAATTTTGCTAGATCATTAGGTAATGGCATGTATATTACATCAAATTACTATGGTACTGGTGAAAAAGTAGATGAAATACATAAAGCTACAGAAGATGCCTTCAGTCAAATGAAAAATGTTTTCAGTAAGTGTAAATTGTGCGGAAAGGTCAGGTTGCCTTCCAAAAAATATTTATTTTAACTTTTCCACTACTACTGAATGAATGATGTGTGTGTTGCGTAACAGAAAAGCATTTTTGGCAAAGCTTGTGTTTCCTCCGCTATTTCAAAGAGCTACCCGCCAGAACTATGCTCATTATTAGTGCCTTATTTTTTAATATTATTCAGATATTCGGTACGGAAGGGTGCAGTATAGTGACCAAGCTTAATAAAAAGGAACTTGAGTGACATGACTCGGAATCAGTCGCAGTGGCGTACATAAATTAATTTTCCCCCCAGATTTTGAGTTTCAGTGCTCCTTAATACATAACTTTTCACCCTCTCTTTTTAAACCATATACTCAATTTTTATTCTTTTTCATTGTATCTGAAATTATTGCTACCACCACTCCTTTACTATCCATTTTGTTTCTTTTAGTGAAGATGCGGCTTATTGTTTAATGCTTTCGACTTTCAGCTACTAAGTCCCAGGTTCAAGCCCCACTCCACCAACATGGGTTGAGGTAACCGGCTGGTATTATTAGCTGTCATAGCGTGTGTACCTGGTGAATGGGTTGCTTTGAAATTCGTCCTGTTAATTTCATCTCACTGTGTTAATGTATTGTGAAAACTTCAGCTGACATATATTTGTGCTAGGTTTCACCTTGATTCTTGCTCACCAATTAAAGTAATAATAATAACTTTGGTCAAGTCATTAAAAGATATATTTTCAAGCTTAATGAGAAGCATGATGTTTTTAAGTCTACAGACCTCAGATCTTGCTAATAGATTTAAAAATAGCTCGAAAAACCAGCATTCATCTTTGTTATTGACCATTCTAACGCACAACAATGGCAAACGTTTTTTTGTGATTACGTTTAGAGACAATAGCTTTTATAGGATAGATCTTTGCATACAAAAACCCAAGATTAGTTTACTGAGTACTTCTGGAATTTATTTACGAGGTTTGGACTGGATCAATATGTATTTTCACATTAGGGTTCTTACCGCTATCTGTCGTTCGACTTTGATGTTGTGTATTGTTTTTTTCGCTGTTCATGCTCAAGTTATTTTCGATTAACCAGAATATTCGTGTTAAGCACAGTTCCCTCCTATTAATTGTTCCATAGCTTTAAACGAAATTAAACCTCAGCAGATTGTGCAATTCATTGTCGTTTTAAGTCAGCGTTTGTCTCCAGATGTATTCAGTAATTTCAATGAAGCCTATACTGGACAGCTAAACAGGTGGTTAGAAGAAATAGAGATTGACAGTAACAATTTAAAAACTGAATATATTGATTCATACATGCCAACACGTGTGTGTATTTGTGTGAATTCTGTAAGTTTCTTAATTTTCAAGTGTAAAACTGTGTTATGCTCTGTTCTGTGTGTTTTTTTTTCTTTTCAGCCACTAAGTCCTTACGTGTTTTAACTCATTTTCTGATGATCAATTAATATTTCGCTTGTTTGACATCAAACATACATATTTTCAATAAATCAATTCACGGTTATCCAATATATGTGTTACTATCCAGAGTAGTTTTCGGAAATTATTATAGTTTATATGCTACATTTTTGTTGTAGAACTATTTCTTAATGGTTAAAGTATTATTTGACTTCTGATTATCAGATCATAGTTCTCGAAATTCTCTTCATCTATTTTGTGTAACTAATCAATCCTGAGTAAAGGTTCATTTAAGTAGGACGCAATTATTTAATAGGATAAATTAGTGAATTAAAAAGTTTTCTCATGTGCATTTTTTAGCTGAGAACATAATAAGTATAGTAATTGTATCATTAGATTAAACCTCTGATGCCAAACCAATCAGTGATCAAATTCATTTTGATGATATCGTTAGGTAAATTTTGTACTAACTAAAAGAAATTATTTACAATTGATTTTTTCTGATATTATTCATACAAATGATGGCTAGGCAAATTTTCAAGCAGCTAAATTCATCTTACCAGTTATATTCGGATTTATATGTGACTCAGTAAATGATTGTATAAACAATTGATTTCTGAACAATAAGTATTTGAACAAATTGTTTTTGAACACATAAAGAGGGTTTCAATTTCCGTATAGCCAAGGCTTCAATAAACCTTAGTATACGTCCTTGAAGGCTTTTGTACAACACAACAAATGCTGATTTCATATCAACCTTATGACTCGTCTCAATCAAATGTTTCGCAATGGATGATGATGTCTGTCTATCCTGTGATCTTATTTGACCATTGGAATTCATCTGATTCTGCAACCGTTTTGGTATATGTTCACCCACCCTTAATTGCAAATCACGATTGCCCCTCCCTACATACGTGTTTCCACACATACATGTAAATTGATAGACGCAATGGGATATTTTGGTGGAGTTTTGTTCTCTGAGCCGGAGAACAAAACACCAAAATAATCCACCTGAGCTACAAATCTTCACCATCTCACAATGGGATATGACACAATCGCTTTCGTGCTGTTGGGGCTTTTGGTGAAACATAGACCTTGTCTTTTACATGTATGTGTGGAAACACGTACATAGGGAGGAGCAGTCGTGATTTGCGATTAAGGGTGGGTGAACATATACCAAAATGGTTGCAGAATCAGATGAATAAGTATTTGGTTCAAACTATGTATTACCATATATCCACACTTGGACAGTAAGTTATTCAGGTAAGGCATTCCGTACTTGGTTGTAACTGACTTCCTAACTACGGATTTATTTTACTACTCTTCAGCGATCTTATTTGCAGTGGGTGAGAATACTTGACTGCTTAAATTAAAGTTGGTGGGGCGCGGGTTTCGAATTTGCAACGAATTAGTGTATTCATTTCTTATGTTCTAAGTCTTAAATTTTCCACAACGTTTAACATCGTTTCGACCCATTCGCTTTCTGTCTGTTGATTTCCTCTCTCCCCTTTTATTTCGATGTGAGCTGTAGTAATTTAAACCTATGAAGATTTTTGCCCAAATCATCTGTTGTTTATGATTGACTGAATCAATTAGTTTAATAAGGTATATTTATGGTTCAGCAGTTTTCCCTTTGATTTCCAAGTGCTTTATAAAGAATGTTTCCTTGTGAGATAATTATCGTTTGTAATTATGTTTTTTTCTTTTCACTCATTACAAAACTTTTAGAATATCATCTATAGGGTATTATGTAGCGAACTTCCTGGCAAAGTTTAAACAATTAAACTAATAAATTTTAAAATAACGAATAAAATACAAAGTGAACTATCACTGTTTTTTTCTGAACATATTCATTCTGATCATGGATCTTAAATTTCCACTTAACATATAAGCTAATTCAAGTTAACATTCTATGTTAGTCATATCAACATTGACAGCTTTATTCTATTTTGTTTGACAATCCTAAATTTACATGCTTTAAACGATGCATTTTTTGGATTATTAATTTGGATATATAAATGTAGAACCTGAAAATAATTTATCGCAAATAATATTCTTCGTTCAAATATTAATCTTTTAATATGATAGAGATCTTTAAACGGTATCAAAAACCTTATATTATTGTCTGGACTTTGAATAAACTTAACTTAATAGTATATCTTTTTAACTTCCCCAGCTTTCAAATGAGACCGTTTATTGTTCTGACAAAGTCTTAACAATTAGTCTATCTGCCATCGTATATTATGGTGATATAAATGTGTTTGAATGGATTAATTCTCTGCGTGGTCTATATGTTCAGTCTATTTCACATTGGGCTCCAGCTAATATTGGTCCTTATAGTCAAGCAATAGCTGTTCCTATCTCAAATATTCAGCTGGATGATTTCTCTACTTGTGTTACAGATTATTTTACATTCTATTCTGGTCAAATTGGTTTAATTCCTGAGTTGGAAGTAATACCATCAGAAACTGGATATTTTTCTGATCACTTCGAAGCATTGGAAGTTGAATCTTGGCTTTCATTAAGACATTGTCACCGAATAATGAAAGTGAGCAATTTCAAAAATGTACTATTCCTATTTATCAATTACTGATGCACACACAATTCGTGAACTGTATTTTTTATTTACTTGTCCATCTACAAAATTCCTAACTAGAACCTGTCATTTAATTGGTTTTGATATACAATGAAAATATTATATGTGTTTCAGTTACTTGCTTACTCTATACTTAAACGTCTAAATGGTTCTTTACATTGTAGCATCTTTAATGGTGTTGAAGTTCATGTGATGAAATACAAAAACATGGGCAGTTTACCCTTCGATGGTGTGTTCCATCCCTGCGATTTACCAACTGTGTAGCTGTGTCTTGTTGTTGATTTCCATTGTGAGACTTAAATGAGTACTTATTACTTCAAAAGATGGAGTGTTATTCTTGTAGATTACTTGGTCACGACAGCCACTACCATATTTCATTTCATGCGTCAAAGCATGAATAGAAGTGCATCTGTAGTGAACGAGAACACAAGTGAGGACAACCGATTATATTAGGCACAAAATTACAGAGTTACTTGGTAAAATAGAAAAAACATAATCCAAAACTTCATTTGCAAAGTGTTCATTAACTGTTTCAGACTTCATTATTCGTGCATTTCCATACCAATTACTTTCTGTTCCCATTCTTTCTTCTTTGATCTGCTCAACTTTCTGCTGCCAGGCACTCTATTCCCGATTGTTGTTACATACTAATGTCGACATAAGTACCACACACCACACTATAATTTAACTGCGTTGCGTAGCAGCCATGAAAGTTCAAGCCTATCATTCTTATGAGGGTTTGTTTTTCTCAATTGATGATATTCAGTATTGAATTTATTAAGTCTCTTTTGGCACACAGATTCCTTAAACGAATGATATAGAATTTCTTGTATTTACAAGTTTTGTAGATGCCTCATATTACCTAGCATTCATATTGGGGACTTATCGACCAGATGTATGGTGTGTGGTACTTATGTCGATATAAGTAGTATGTAACAACAATCAGGAATAGAGTGCCTGGCAGCAGAAAGTTGAGCAGATCAAAGAAGAAAGAATGGGAACAGAAAGTAATTGGTATGGAAATGCACGAATAATGAAGTCTGAAACAGTTAATGAACACTTTGCAAATGAAGTTTTGGATTATGTTTTTTCTATTTTACCAAGTAACTCTGTAATTTTGTGCCTAATATAATCGGTTGTCCTCACTTGTGTTATGTTTATTACAATAGTACTTACCATAAAAATGGCCTAAAATATTACTAGGAAAGGTAGGCTTACTCTGGTTATTACATTAAATGATCGACCAAAAGAATGTTCTGCAGGCTAAAATTTGGCCCCAAACTGATTAAAAGCAGAACAACGTAATATTTCGATTTCATTGTTATATAAATAACCACTAGATGTGTGGATCAGGTATTTCGCGTTGTTCTATCGTACTGGTCACTTTTTCGTACCAGAAAAAAATAAAACACCAGAACTATGATTGTAATATAGATCTTTTTCTATGATACTCCATAGTCTGCAATTTAAAAATATTTTTTATAATTGTTTGATCGCTGAGTAGTTACTAAGTCGCATTTGCCTAGTCCTTTAAGCCCTGATCCAAATTCTATCAATCACGTTAATGTGATCACTGGTCTTAGTTACTCGACATCGTGTACACTATGTTGTGGTGTTTAATGGTTGCAGCAAGTCCTGGAATTCTTTACGAATAATTCTAGTCTCGTAAGATTCCTCATTATTTTTATTGATGAGACCAATGCTTCTATGGTTTATATCATCATCACTTTTTGCCTCAGGCCATTATTATTATTTCGTATATCTTTTTAACATAACTCCTCTACTTCAACTGATCTACCTATTATGGCTAAAAATAACTAAAAGTTGAGGATTACTTATTTAGTCATTCCAATGCATTTAGACAACGATACCGGAAATATCCTGGAAATCAAGTATCTTCTGACTTTATTTACTTCAAATTTTCACAAACGGCTATGTAGTCTACACCAAATATTACTAGTAGTGTACATTGTTCAATCAGAATTTTCCGTCCCTTTTTTAATTCTGCTAACAATTTCAATCCGAGGCAATTAAATTACTCATCTAAGAAAAGTGTTTAACATCGTCAGCGAAATGAGTTTATGTCTTCAATATCTTGAACTAACAGTTTAATTTTTCCGTTCAAAACTTGAGTAGGATCTAATCCCATTTGATAAGAAATCATTTTTTAAAGGGACCAAGTATAGAAATATTTAACTGTAGTTGAGAATCTACAGAGAAATTAAGTAGAAAGAATCCATAATAGAGTTATTCCTGACTTTCACGATTTATTATGATTAACCCAAATGATAGGTCATTGTAGTTCCTTATGTTATTCGATAACTGTCCAGTTGAATAATCAACCTAAGCGTTAATATTCTGAGTGTATTATCCCAGTAAAGCTTTGTCTTAAGTACTTGTAAAGATTAAGATTCTGATGTCGCAAATTTTCAGGAAGAACTTACTTGGACTTCTGTATTAATATTCAGGATGTTTCTTCAAGTTACAATTCGTAGTACACCACTTTACATGACATTGTGTCAAATGAAACAGTTTTTATTTACTTTTTAAAATGGAGTGAGTTATCTTGAAATTTAATTAATTTTAATCTATAGTTGTAACGTTCGGTACACATGATATATATATATTATCTGTAATGTAATGTTCTGTTTTTTTTTCAATCTTAAGGTTAACATTTTATGATTTTCAATTCAACTTTATGCGACTGAAGTACTCATTATGTTGATACTTAATTTTTTAAATCTTTATTCAGTACATGGCCCCGTCCAACATATGGATGGATCTGTTCCTTGGAATTTGCTATGCCATTGATGAAGTTTCATTAAACCAGGCTCGAAATTGTTTTCACCAAGCTGTTTGTTCACAAACACTGGATACCACTGATAAATGTCATTGCAATCATTGTATTGTATGGCTTGTCGTATCGAGTCTACCTAAAAATGCTACAGTTGAATGGCAATGGATAACTGGACCATCATCACTATCATTGGTAATCACATCGTTAAATAAAGTACTTAACAGAGAATCAATTATTCCTTCGAATACTTTTATGCTATTCTATCGATATGATGTTAATGGATTAAATGTACAAGAACTATCCATTTTACTCAGTGATAACTACACAGGATTTATGTTGCCTGTTGTAAAGTTCACTGATCCCTCTGTAACTGCAGTAGTTGTTTCTGTACAGTCTAAATAATGATTACAATAAAATAAATGATTGTTCTTTATCTTTTTATAATTGAGGATACTAGATAATAAGACTGGTCCAAATAAAAACAATAAATGATAACCCATGTATCAGGCACAAACCTGTATGCTTGGCTTTAAGCAACCATTTAGATGTCGTAACTTGTATCCTGTTTTGTAAAATAGATCTGCCACATAATGATTGTATGATGCAGTCGATAAGCAAACGCACCAGTGACAACACTAAACGTCCACCATAAACTCTCTTTGACCTTGCTTGACTATGTCTTGTATATTCACCAATCATAATTTTTGTTTGTCATAAACAATATTAATTTTGTTGACTCATTTTTCCTGTTTTTTAGTTACCATTCGGTATGTTATTTATGTCTCCTTTTTCCTGTTTGATTTACTGAATTATTTGTTTTCTGTATACTAACAGTGATAATTTACGTTTTAAAACAGATAAAGTCAAATAGCTTACATGTTCTGACTTTGGCTGAGCTAAGACTCTGTGCTCGACAGGGGATAGCTTAGAATTGCGCCTGTAAGAAATTACTTCCTACAGTGATTGAAATTCGAAAGTCTTTACTATCAAGTCATCGTCTCTTTTAACTAAGAAAACAATTAATAGATCAATAAAATCTGGTTCAAAATTGTACTAACTGATATAGCTAATCATAGTGCTCTATCCATAACTATGATATGACTTCGTTATAAAGCGAATGATACTTGGAATAAAAAGCTTAGGAGTATTCGTTTTTGTTTGTGAATACCAATTGCAACTGTGAGGACATTTGAATCACAGCTGAACTCAAATAAAAGGCATCTCGATTCCTTTGGACTTTTTTCTCATTGTCCACATATAGTGTTGTAATAACTTGATATCAGTTAATAAACACTTGTTTTTTATCAATATGGTCAAAAAAGATTCAAGAATATTAATTACCACCTAATAATATCAGGTGGAAAAGATCAAGAACTTCTGTTTTGAACTTATTTGAAGCTGTTTAGCAAAGCACACCCCTTGACCCCCAACCGAAGTATGATTATTCTGCATATGATTGACTTACTGGCAGCCTTCATCCCTGTTGAACGAGTTAGTGACTATCAGGACTCAGTAGCTCAGTAAACAATGCGTTCGATGTTTTAAGCGAATTTTTGAATCTGTGAACATCGAAATTGTGATACATGTACATCTAGCTGAAAGCACACGAGGCCAAGTTGGTCACATTCGAATCCTTCCTACACCTCCAAATAAATCTCCTATCTCCATGACTAACCATTCTCACGTCCCTTTACCACTTCGCATCGCTAGGGCAAACGATTTGAGTCCGCGGAACGTTATTCCTGGTCTCCTGAAACCACGCTCTAAACTACATGTTGGAACTTATAACGTCCGAACAATGTGCTAAATAGGACAACAGGCTTCATTAGCTAGGACTGCAGAGTCTCGCGCCATCGATGTGCACTGCGTCCTCGAGACGCATATACAGGGTCCGAGTAGCATCATTCATTTGACCTCACCATGTCAAAATAAAGAACCGACTCGATTCACACTTCGTGTATCTGGAAGCCCAGATGCTGCTTCTCGTGGACTCGCCGGCGTAGGTATAGCATTGAGTCCTAGGGCAGAACTAGCTCTCTTAGAGTGGATCCCAGTAGACAGTCGTTTGTGCGCTGTCCGACTGAACGGAACAGTAAGGATCCGGAAAGGTAGAGACACTCGTCGTTGCCTCTTCGTCGTCTCTGCCTATTCTCCCACTGACTGCAGCGCAGATGCTGTAAACGATGAGTTTTACAGAAAGCTCTCTGACCTCCTAAAAGCTAGGCGTTCTGATGTAGTAATAGTGGCTGGTGACTTTCATGCTCGAGTAGGTAAACTAAGCGATAGGAAAAGACACCTGGGTGAATCTTATAGCATCGTGGCTCAAAGAACAGATAATGCCGACCGTCTAGTGCACCTATGCTCAGATAACCGCCTCTTCCTTGCAAATACTGACTTTAAGCATAAGGAAAAACATCTTTTAACATGGCGATCCCCTAATTTGTCCCAACGTTGGACCCAAATTGATCACATCGCTATCAGCCACCGCTGGAGGGGCTCAATAGAAGACTGTCGCTCATTTTGGAGCACATGTTTAGATTCAGATCATGCTCTAGTGCGAGCGCGTATCTGTCTGCGTCTTACTGGACGTAGGAAAGACATATTATACATTCTCAATCCAGGAGATTGGATCGATGGGCAGAACACTTTAGGGATCAGTTCAACTGGCCTTCAACCACACTTCGGTTTCCCACGATCTCCTGTCAACCTGAATGGCAAGTTAATGTAGGTCCTCCGTCTCTTTACGAAGTTGAAAAAGCCATAGGAATCTGAAGCGAGGGAGAGCAGCAGGCCCTGACAGGTTTACTCCTGAGATTTTTAAGGATTGTAGTCCAATATTAGCAGTGGGATTAACTGAGGTCTTAGGTAGAATTTGGGAAATGAACGTAATCCCATCTGACTGGTCTCAATCGCTGATTGTGCAAGTCTATAAGAAAGGACAAAAGTCCTCTTGTGACAATCACGGAAGAATCAGTTTGACTAATATATTGTCTAAAATATTAGCTTCAATATTTCTTCGACGCCTAATCAAAGCTCGTGAAGAACAGACTATCGAAAATCAGGCTGGTTTTCGAGCTGGACGTGGTTGTGTAGTGAACAAGAACACGGGTGGGGACAATCGATTGTATTTAGCACAAAAATTACAGACTATCTCAATAAAATGTGAATACCATAAAGTCAATCGTCAATTTGCAAAATATCATTCGATCATATCAAACTGTACTGTTCCCGTTGCAAACACTAATCCATTGTCGCCCATTCCATTGCACATGCGTTTTCTTACAATTCCATTGTGTTCTTGCTCTTCCTTTCTTGAACTTCGCCATCTTCTGCTGCCGGATATTACGTTCTTTTAACGCACGTTATATACTACTTATATCAATATAAGTAGCTCACACCACGGTTGTATAGACCAGATATTCACACTAAGTCAGGTCCTAGAACATAGACACACATTCAGACTTCCACAATTGTAGTATTTCTCGACCTCAAGGCGACATTTGACTCTGTTGATCGTGAGGTTCTATGGCAGTGTTTGTCACTGAAAGGAGTACCAAAGAAGTACATTAACCTTATACAGGCTCTCTACTCGAACACAACTGGTCGAGTGAGAGCTTATGGTGAACTGTCATCAGAATTGACTACCTCAAGCGGTTCCCGTCAGGGCTGTCAACTCTCTCCATTCTTGTTTAACTTTATCGAAGACATGCTTTTGGAGATAGCACTTTCCTCATCTGAATTTCCATGGGTTGAACCTCTACCGGAAGATTCACTTTTTGACTTAGAATATGCTGATGACATATTTTTATTTGGTGAAGACGCTGACAAAATGCAGAGTCTTCTGACCACTCTAAGCAACAATGCAAGCATGTTCGGGATGCGATTCTGTCCCTCGAAATGCAAAATGTTGCTTCAGGACTGGGTTACATCGACACCCGAACTAATGATAGGGAGTGAAGTAGTTGAGCGTGTCAACCGCTTCACTTATCTTGGGAGTCTCATCAGCCATTGTGGTCTGGTGTGTGACGAGATCAAGCACGGATACAGAAGGCTCGACTAGCCTTTGCCAACTTGCGTCACTTGTGGCGTAGGTGAGATATCCGTCTACCAACCAAAGGACGTGTTTACTGCGCAGCAGTTCGTCCCGTCCCACTTTATGGCAGTGAAACATGGCCGGTAAGAGTAGAGAATACTCGTAGGTTACTAGTATTTGAACATAGATGTCTTTGAAATATTGCTCGTATATCCTGAGACCACCGAGTAAGTAACGCAGTTGTTTGGAATCGGGCACTAGGTAAGGATGGCAAATCAATTGATGACGTAGTGAAAATTCATCAGTTGAGATGGCTGGGACACGTGTTACGTATGCCCAACCATCGACTGCCCCGAAGTACGATGTTTTATGGTGTAGGAGAAGGTTGGAAGAAAGTTAGGTGTGGCCAGACCAAAACATGGCACAAATCCATGAAGTCACTGACAAGTGTACTGAGCCATGTTGGTAGGTGTAGACTACCTGGTTGGGGACCACGAGATGATAGCAACCGATGGTTAGAGACCCTGAATGACATGGCTCAAAATCGTTTGCAATGGCGCAGGTGCATCCACTCTTTGTGTTCTCCCGAATTCTAGTCTTCTGGAATCTTCCCATCCCTTATTTTCTTCCCAAATTTATCTCACTGTATTATACTCCATGAATAACATCTTCAAATCCTAATCTTTCGGATTACTGCTTATACTCTTACTACCTCTTCCACCGCGGGATTTGAGTCGACAACTGCATCTCTGTGCTTATGTGGTATGACAACTTGGACTGATGTACGTACGTACGAAGTTCTACGTTGTTACTGACCGCCTCTAGCTGATAACCCCCAGACTAGATGAATCGCGCGTCTTTGATTCCAATGATAACCACATATCTAATATACTAAGACTTGTGATAATGCTTTATCGAGAACATCCACTCAGTATCCACATACGGTAACAGAATGATCAATCCCAGTTCTGAATATCAACAGTAGGGGATTATGAACGTTTGATCAGTGTGAAATCTGGCTGGCTTTACAATGTATTCAATGTGGGGAGATAGGTCACTTTCTAGGTGTGTCCCTCATGAAACCAATCAATTAAATCGGTCAATATAGTAAACGCAATAGATTTTAACTGATCAATTAATAATTTTCTGAAATAATCTAAATGGAAAATAGGTCAGTATAATGAAGTTGACAATAAAAAATAAGCTCAAAGATTATTGGTATTTTATAGTTTAACTACTGAGAATAAGAATAATTTGAATAAAGAAAATTGGTTAGAATTAAAATTAAAGTGGAACGACCAGACATTAGTACATTTATGTTAGGTGATCTGTGCCGT